TGTCACACGCCTGCTCCACCTGCGTGAACGAACGAGCACAGAGCTACACGCAGATCCCGTGATGACCAGGGGGTACGCTGCAATGTGCTTTTGGACAAGGACACAGCACACCAGTGTTCATCCCGTTCAATGCTGAGTGCTGCCCTACCCGCATCAGTGTCCTGCGGCAAAACTCCGAAAAACAGGCAGTCATATCCCTGTCCTTAACGATTATTATCCTGATTAATGAATGAATTTATCCTTTAGCATGACCATAACTGTTCCAGATTAAGAGACAGTAATTATGCACCTCTCGAAGGCTTCTAATGCCGTTCAGTACCTTCTCTCTTCCCTACAGATGCTGCTTTACTTTCAGAAAGCCTGGAACAAGCCCAAGCTTTGCAAAGACGCTACACCTTGGCATCACCTGAGCTTTGAGCACAGCCCAACAGCACTTTTCAGGCTGCTTGCCAGCTTCATCCATTCTTTATTAATGCACGTTACTGTTGCCGCTTCATTTTTATTTATCGCTGCGGAGAGCAGAAGGCATGTAGTGTCTGACCTCAGACCAACCGCCCAAGCACAGAGCAGCAAGTGATGGATTAGCATTGTGGAAACAAGGATTTCCATTGCTTTCTTTGGACTAACGGAAACCAGCCCTCCTCACTCGAGAAATGCTCAGGACAGAGGTTTCAACATTGGCGAACATCTGGAAGGATAGGCTAAAAATATTCAATTCGTTAAGGTCAGGCTTTAAAAAGTTTTTGGGGACTTACAAACAGCGGGTATCACAGCAGGGAAATTTCTGAACCGAACTCTCGTGGGCAAACTTTTCACAGGAGGAATGTTAGCAGCACTGAGTAACCATTCCCTAGGTGTTCATGCTTCGATCACACAAGGTGAAAGTATTAATATATTAAAGAACAAGTCTTTAAGACAAAAACCAATCACACAAAAGGTTTGCAAACGTTTGACTCACAAATCCTACTGCAGTTTGTGGGTTTAGCATGGACTGTCACAGACAGCAGCAGCAAACCACACGTTAGACGTTAGCAGGCTGAGTAAGACGTTTGCTTCTCTGAAAATACACTCCACTCTCCTCTCCTCACACACCACCCAGGATGGGGAGAGCTGTCTGTCCTTCCTGCTTGGATCCCATTTTTTCCTGGCATCCTCTCCGCTGCCCTTGAAGCACTTATTATTGCAACCACGCTTCCAGCCGTGGAACGCCGGATGGGGTTGCCTCCCCAGCTTTGCAAATGCTGTTCCTCAAACACAAGACACCGAGCTTGAATCTCCTGCGAGGCAGAGCTGGGAGATACCAGTGGCACAGATTTGCGTAAATGCCTTCATCTAGTGCATCAGAGACCTTATTCTGTCAATCAGACAGAACACAGCAGAGAAAGTGATGGCTGTCTTGCTCAAAAAAACGGGAACAGGGCAAAGTACGGTGCATCCTGTACAACAGAGCCACGTGCATCAACTTACTGCCGGGGTGGGGTCTGCAAATGGGAGCAGAAAAAGGGAGAAAACCCATGCTTGGACCATGAGAGCCTCCTGCTTGGAGAGCAGCCTCAGAAATCCACCCAGGCTGCAGCAGAGAGAGGCTTCCTTTGCGGGACGTTGGCGTCATCCCATGAAAAGCAGGAGACAGAGAAGGTGATGTGGCTCTGTTCCGAGACCCCAGCAGCCAGGCTGGGTTTAAAGGGTCCATCCTGAGATCTAGTCCTAAGATTTTTTTTTTAAACGTCACTCCTGCTTGCATGGTCTGACATTTCTGGTTTCTACTGCCTGTCACTTCTGTTTCAACAGCCTGCCTACGATAATGAAAATGAACAAAAAACCCACAAGAGATGGCTGGAGCGTAAGGTCTCCCTTAGAACCTGAACATTGCTCTCTCCTTGCCACTGAAAATTTCACCAAAAAATGATGTTTGTAGTGTAGAAATAGTGCAAATCTCATGTTGTACTTGATACAACTTCATACTTTTGCATGCTTTTTATTTTTTTCTCCTTTTTCAAAATAAAATCTTAGGTTAGCCATTCTGATGTTATAATACTAAAATACGTACGCAGGTAGTTGCTGCTGTAACGTCGCACAAACAAATCCAAAACCATTCGAAAGGCATCCTTTCAGCCTGCTTTACAACTGGACAAAACACGCTGGACGGATCAGCCTATTTCAGCCTTTCTGCAGCTCTTACTTTTGTTGATTTATTCTCCCCACACATCGTAACCCCCTTTAAATGTGTTGCAGACCTTGTAAATTCTTTGCTTACCCCTGTGGGACCCAGCAAGGATTGCAAACGGACCCTCACAGCCTACGGTACAGCATAAACTCAGAGAGGTCTCAGACCTCCCCTGTGCTCCTTCAAGGACCGCAGCTATTGTCAAGGCTTGTAATTACTGTCTAGAGAGTTCAGAAGGGTCACAGGCACAGTGAACCTACCCCAAAACCAGGCTCTAACCATTCTTTAGAGACATTTTCCTCCAAAGTGGAAATGCAGGTGGCATATGTCTGCTCTCTGGGAAAGTGCAAACTCAAAACACGATTCCTTTTGCCAAAAATTTCCTTCCCATCCATCCATTCATCCATCCCCTTTTTATCACAGAAAGGAATTTTGTTTTAACTTGTTTTAATAATAGCAATCTTTCAAGAGCAGTAACTGTACCTGTCCTGAAAGCAATCTTCTAGAAATGAAAGTTCAACCATGCAATCGTACTTGGAAAAAGGAAAATCCACCTACGTTGCCCTAAAAAGCCAAACCAAGACCAACTCCCCCATCATCAGCTTTTTCCAATAAGATTTCAATCCCTACCTTTGCCATTTGCTAGTTTCCATGTTCAAAGAAATCAAAAGAATCCTCTCTTCCCACTTTTCAGAAACACTTGGAACAGCTCTCTATATATTCCCACTTCTTCTTAAGTCCTAATAAACTGGATTAATATTTTGAGGTCTCTAAGTAGAAGAAAAGCTGAATAGAGACTCAAGAAACCCCCTCTGCACCTCACACAAAGCTTCTATTTCACAAGCTGACTTGCAGCAGAAATACAACTCAAAAAAAATAATTTTTTTTTCAAACCTTATCTGAGGAGGTTTTGCAGAATACGCATCAAACAATAATTCTCTTTACACCACTAAAATTATACTTACAGATGGGAAAGAGAGGGACAGGATTTCCTCCCTGTAAATGCCGACCTGCAGCCTGCCAAACACAGCGAAGGCTGAGCCGATGGTTTAAAAGTCTAATGTTCAAAAGCTTTTGGTTTGTTGTCTGCTACAGAGTGAAATGACCAAATAAACGTCTTTTTACGGACCGCACAACACACAGATTGTATCTGCACAGCCCAAACTGGGCAAGGCACAGCGCTATAACCCGTTCAACCCCAAAGCTGGGGCTTGTAGCTTATTTCTCTAACGTCTGTCATCTGAAATTGCCAGGGGGGCCAAACACCCTTGCTGTCTGTCTTTGCAGCAAAGCACAACTATCTTAAAGCTTTTACATTTATACGGGCTTAGCCTTAATTAACAGAATTCATTTCCTCTGTGTCCACCGGAGAAATCAGGGAGACTTTTGCACGCCGGTGCAGCAGGCTGAACACCAACGCTAGTGGCATATCCAAAAGGCGAGCAAAGCGAAATTCTTTTATAATCTTTTTTTTTCTTCCTCCTTCAATATCTTTGGCCTGATACAGATGAATCCTGCCAAAATCCCTCCCCGCTGCACTATCACTCCATGAGGTATTTCACACCTCCCATCAGTTCTAGCGTGGAGCCAAACCCATCCAGACCCCGCTGGTATCCAGCGCGGGACAGGATGGAACCTTTCCCTGGACATCAGGAGAGGCCGCGAGGTGTCGGGGTGGAGTATCTCACGGCAGAAAGGATGCTCAGCTGAGCAGCTCCTTCCCTTTACTGGATCCAGATGCCACAAGGGTCTCAGCTTTGTATCTGAGATTCACAAGAGGGGAATCACGGACTTGGGGTGGGGAGGAGTTCCAGCTAGCCAGAAAGACTACTTAAAGGAAAAAAAAAAGGAAAAGGTGACTGGTTCTACGTCCATCCTTTAAAGTGATGAGGCCAACCCCCAGTGCTTTCATTTTAGTTTAGTAACACAGAAAAAGAGGGTCCTCAGCGGTTGGGCACGGTTCACAGCCTCTGGAGCTATGGCCAGCAGCTCGGTTACGCCTTGCTGGAGCACCTTCCTGAGCTCTAAACAGAGAGACAGGCACCACAGCCATTCCATTAATGCTCGGCATAAACTGATAAGATGGATGCTCAAGAAGTGCCAAGATGAATCAAGAAAAGAACTGCTGTGCTAAGAGCAGAAAAACGACCAAACACGGGCATTAACTGGGGATTGAATTTGTCAGTGCAACGTCTCCTCCAAAAACAACTCCATCCAACATATCAGACTGTGATAACCTACTACACAGCATCTCACAAAGCCACCATCCCCGTATCGGCAGCCGGGGAATCTGTGGTACAGGGGCAGATCTACCTGCCCAGAGCATTTGGACACCGCAGTAGCAGAGGCAGTGGAAGGATTTCACACCAGATGTCTGGAGACGTAACTGGGAACAGCTCAAGAACCCCCATCTCCTGGTTGCCAGCAGCTCGCCTTGATCACCACAAACACTGCCCGGCCTTCTCCCGTACGTCTGGGAGCGGATCTGCTGTGTCCGTGTGTCCGTCCGCGCTCCCCCCACTACGGACGCAGAGCCCAAGCACACACGCTCGTGTCTCTAGGCTAACCACTGTGCAGCTCTGCACACCCAGGATGATTTGCTTAACAGACTCCTTTTTTCTCCCCTCCACGCTGCTTTGCTTTTCTGCACATCAGCTGGCCGCAGTACCACAGGCAGCATCCTTTTGAGGACTGAGCTAGTGAAGAAGTGGAAAAAAAACCCCACACGTGCCGCAGAGAAGTGTCGGATCAAAATATTCCGAGGTTGTGTGACCAAACATAATGCAATGCAGTCTGCAAAACAAGGCGGGGGGGCAGAAAACACGGCATTTACCTGACACGAGATCTGTACAAGGTAGACCAGCTCCTTGGATTCGCAGCCGTTCCTCGTCACTTCGTTCTGTTCCTCCGGGAGCGAAAGCTACACCAAGGGAGGGGTGGAGAGAAGAGAGAGAAAGAGCAGGTCAGTGAGCATGTAATAATGCATGAAGCACCACATTCCCATCAGCTTGCTCCGAGACATGCTGAGTAGCAGGGAATCAGGGATGTGCTTGTCTGTCTGGAGTTGTCAGATAGAAAACATTCAGCATTCGGGGCTTACGCAGACCCTGGAACGCCATTGGATTTTGGCATCTCACCTGACAGTTTAAAAATAAAAATATGGTTCAAAAATAAAACAATCACAAGAAGGCAAACTGTTCAAGGCAGGGATTAAACCTCTAGCTTAGAAGTCTGCAAAATTAATTGTTCACTGAAAATATCTCCATAAATATTCATGTATCAGATAACAGGGGTTCCTCTCCCAATTTTATTCATTTTTTATTTTATATGTTCAGGCAGACATTAGACAATAAAACCTATCTTCTAATTTCAGTGCTGTCAAGCAATTTACCACAACAGGGAGTTTTATGGCACCATTCATCACATTCAGAGTCGTTAAATACATCATCAGGATGGGCTTTTCCAGAGCAGGGAGGAGCGACTTCACCGTGTCATTCCTGTACCGAGCGCCACGACCAGCCCTACTACTAGTCCCATCAGACTGGTTCATAGGTTCATACACAATTTTGCCAAGAAGAGCCAAGGCTTGACGGACCATCCACACAGGTAGGATGAGCTTAAACACGCTTCTGGTTCATGTGGTCTCCCCCACCTGAGAGAAAGCGGCTCATCTCTAGTAAGCCGGCAGATGAAGACAGTGATTACAGGAGCCTCCTGCAGAGGATGATTTGTTGGTTTTTCCTCTGGTGGAGATGAACAGCCACAAAGCAAACAGGAGGGGAGGTTATGATATGGCACATCCCGACCCTGTATTCAAAAGCTCCGTAGTTTTACAGGGCACGATCCTGCGCATTGATCCTCCAGAACAGGGGTTAACAGGAACAAAACACTCTCCTCTCTCCTCTCTTTGGAAGCTCCCTTCTGCTCTCCCTCCAAGAACAATCCTCCCATCCAACTCTGGCAAAGCAGCAGGCGTTGGAAAGACCCCGTTGTTTGTCTGGAGCTCCACGAGTCCAAGCGTACTGTGAACTGGTGGGGGCACGGGACCTGCCGCATTTCCTGCACAGAGAGCTGCAAAGCCAGGGCTAGCGACCGCCGAGAGGACTCCAGCTAGAGCGGAGGCAGCTTTGGGTGGCCCTGCTTCCTGAGCACGTTCCACTTGTCAGTGCAGTAATTACAACTGTTGAGATTCATGCAATCATTCTTTTTTTTTGCTTTACACCACAGAGTCACATTCTTGTGTGCTGCTTCTCTCACAAACTACAAACACTCCAAACAACCATCTCAAGGACAGGCACTACAAAAATCTGCTGCCAAGACTAGGACTGTTGGCTACCAAATGCAAGTGCCAGATCCTCAGCAGGTAAGAGCTGGCTTTGCTTTGCAAGCTGCACGGGGCTGTGTCCACTCCTAGCCCTGCCTCTGACCCCCAGATGTCCAGCTAAGCTCATTTAGATACCTTTGGCTTTCATTTCCTTGCTTCCCTTCTTTGCCAAGTGACGTCAACTCCATCAACCATGTAAAGGGAAATTTGGGCAAAGCTCACAAAAGCATTTATTTGATTTGTCTATGGAACTTACTTATTTCAACTTCTGCTTCACACAGCCACGAACGCTTGCTCTCGATCTCGCTCGCACACACGCATCTCAGCCAGGGAGTAAGGCAGAGCCGCTGGCGGAGAGCCGGCACGCAGAACAGACAGGTTACAAGAGCTTTGGCAAAGCTGTCCTCTGTGTCTGGTGATGAACTTGCCCTGCTTCCAATGACATAACTCATTTTGCACAGTGTCGCTAGCTAAAGCTTAAAGTCTTACCTGCAGCTAGAAAAAAATAAAAATAAAAAAAATTAAAAAAAAAAAGAAAATAAAAGGAAAAAACCCACCATCTGCCGAGGCGTTCCTGAGCACACAGCCCTGCCCAGGATTTGGGGTGATCTGCACACGTGAAGGGCAATGCAGGCACCTGGCAGTGGTGCAGGCAGGAGGACAAGGTGACGGGAGGATGTGATGGGGCGGATGGCAACGGCCCAGCCTCACGGGCAAGGATAAACTTGGGCAGGTTTCACCCCAAACCCAGCACACATCTGTACTTGAGGAGAGAGAGATGGCAAGAACGCGGGAGAGGTGTCTTTCGCCAGGAGTTTGAAGTCAGTGGAAAGGCTGATGCTTTTCCTGGCAGAGGATGCGTCATTGTTCCAAGGGAACCTGGTAATCTTTTTATGTTTTTCCGAGATGGAATTTAAGGTTAACTCCCTGGCGAAGGCAGCCAGACACACGCAACCGAAATTTCTGCTGCTCATACTCAGCCATAGCAAAAGCTCATTACCTTTCCAAACCACCACTACATCTGATAATTTTTTCTGACAGGATTAGGAATGGACTTTTTTTTTTTCTTTTTTAAATTTCTAAACCACCACACTTCTAATGTCTCCTTGATGTCTGTCCCCTCGCTAATTTACGATGTTTGTGCAATTGAGCAAATCAGAGGAGGGAAAAACCACAGGACAAACGCCACCTTTATGCATCACTTTGGAATGTATGTATTGGGTGAAAAGTATGTCTGATGGCCAACAGCATGAAACATGAGGCTAATTTTCCTGTGAAATATTGCTGTGTTTTATTTTTAAAAAAATTCTAGGGCCCAAATATCCTCGGGACAAATCCTGAAGAAATTAAAAGCCTCAGCACTGATCAAACTCAGAGATGCAGACTCATTATATGAAAAAGCTTTTACTACCTCTCTTAGCTCCAGTCCCCTAATAGCCAATTCCTCCGCTATCTCCTACATTACCCAGGTGATTCCCACACCACTTCATCTCCATTTAGCCGAGTCTATACTTACATCAGTTTGTCTTGTAATGGGGCACCTTCAAGACCTGCTTTTTGATATATTTGAAGATATTATTTTCTTATATCTGAAATTTTTGGTTGGCAAATCTTTTCCAACAGGGAAATATTTTCTAACTAATTACTCTGACAGCATAAATGTATTTATCCGGCCTATTGTCCTCTCTCCAGATGTATCTTGCTAAATGCACTAACTACACTCCCACACGGTTCCCCATCTTCTCCTGTTTTCTCCTTTTCATACTGAACTGTGGCTTCAGAGCAGGAAAAGAACATTTCTGACAGTGTGGCTTCTTCACCCAAGCACAAATATCCTGAAGCAGTGATGAAAGTAAAGACAAAGACATGTTTAAACAATATTTTTATATCTGAACCTCCATTTCTTCATCACTGTTTGAAATCATCCCTTTGGAAGCTCAGAAGTGGTACCCAAGAGCAGGAAAAAAAAATTAAAAAAAAAAACAGAGCTCAACAAGCCAAAAAAGAAAATGCATCCCCTGTAACGCCACACAGATTACTACTCCAAGCTAACCAGGGTGTGCCAGGATCACTCGGGGCACCTCCGAGCTGCACGCAGCGTCACCTCCAGAAATCAATGAATCACCGCGGGGCTGCCGCACTCGGCTCTCATCAGCACCAGGGTGAACGCCACGCAAACAAAGCTCTCACAGACGAATTTTCACGTCACTTTTGTGAAGTGCAGAGGATCCAGCTGTGGAGGAGCATCTCACAGATGAATTCTGGCCACACCAGTTTGCTAATACTGCTGCTGAGGTTCACTGCATGGTTCAACTTGCTCTTTGCATGCTGAAATTAAACCCAAATGCGCCGCTGCAGTAAAAAGGCAAAATGTTCCCCTGAGAATACCCTGGTTTTCCCCCATGGATCGAGCAGAGCACAGCAGAAAACACCATGGGAACATGTAAGGAGGGTACTAGCAACAGAGACAACATTAAATGCTGTTTGAATTCCCCTCCAAGCAGGCAGTTCACACCAAATCGCAGGTGCACTCAGAAGTCCGAATTTTATGCAAGTACAAGGCTGTGGGATGTGCACTTTGCCTGTGGTCACTTGCAGAACTATTTTAAGCTTGCAGATACCACGAGACACTTTCCTCCTATGGAAGCATGATTATTCAGGAGTCAGCATCCTTCAGCTGAGCTTCACCTTCCAGACTAATAAATCCTACCGTCGCTTATGCACAGCGAGGGCAAAGGGCTGACACCAACTCCACAGCAGATCCTTGAGGTGCCTTCATCATCCTGGATGCAATAACAGTTCCACGTGTGCCTTATATGTACAAGACCCGGTCTCCTTGGGGTTATTTTTTTTAATACAAGCTTCCAATGAGGCCACGCACACAATGCTGTGTATCTCGGTCCTTCTGAGAGAGGCTGGAACAGCTGTGACACTCAGGGTCCTTCACAAATCAAAACTATTGCAGAAGCCAACGGAAAGATCTCACTTTCCACCCCCGATTCCAGGTTGAGCTGCCAGCGCAGGCAGGTTACGTATACTTTGGGTTTCTTTAATTCTTCAGCCAAGTATATTTGATGCCTAAGATCGCTGAGACAGAAAATCTCAGAGAGTTGCATCAATCTTTTCCCAGATTTTCCTGTATTAAGTTGCAAATGTTTTCTCATGAGGCCTCACCCTTTTATTTCCTCTAAATGTGGAAAAGGTCAATGTTCATAAGCAATGAAATATTCATAAAAACTTCTCAGATGCAGCCGTTAGGGACTTCATTAGGCAAAAACAACTTCTTGGGGTCTGAAAACATTCTGTTTTCATGAAGCTAAAATATCTGATGTTATTAAAAACAAACCAAGGAACACCCCTCCACGCGGCTGCACGCAGAGCAGCGCCTCGGGCGATCGGCAAAGAGGATGAGGGCTCCCGAAGCCGAACCCGCCACCTGTGGGTTCTGTGGTTGGAACTGAGTGGGTTTGCCTTTGGTCTTTAAAGCTCTGTATGAACAGACCATCAGGAAACTTCTTCACGCATTCCAGGCTACAGAAATAACAGCCGCAAGATAAATTAGACCCAAAACACTGTTAGGAAGAGAACTTTTCAGA